AGCACCATATGCATTTGATGAACTATCACTAAAAATAACAAGCATAGGCAGACCTATCGCTGTGGGTGGTTTGATACATCTTTCAAATGACAAGGAATCAATCCCAAATAATTTGTGAAAGTGTACTACCCATTGCTCTTTCATATGGGCAGGCAAAGGGTCATCCCATCCTAACTTGGTGCTGCAACTGACAGTTTCCCGTAATAATATTTTGGCTTTCAATGTGTATGGAAGAAGTAAACCTAGTGGGTCATACACAGAACACATCTGACTTATAACAATTCTCTTAGTTAAAACTGGAGGAATGTTACAAATAAAATTTGAAAATTTTAAATCTGGACCTGTTCGTATACCCTTATATTTAGGAGAAAAATTCAACCTTGCTTTGAATTTAAATTCATCATTCCAACGATCCCAATATAAACCAAGAATTTTATCGCCTTCATTCTCTGAAAAATCTAGATCATCCTTATCAACATCACCAGTCATAATCCACTGCTTTACCTTAAAATTGCCATATGAGAGTATTTTCTCAGTTTCCTGAATCAACTGCAAAGCTTTCTCTTTACTCTCAACTGATTGTATAATATCATCAACATAAGAATTTGATATTATCATAGAAGCAGCATCGGGATACTTTTCCATCCATAGCTCAGCTGTGTGTTTAAGAGCCAACATAGCAATTATTCCAGAAGGTTTGTCACCAAAGCCCATTGAAGTTAACACATAATGCTCAGGCTCACAATTCAACTGGAAATCTCTCCAAACAAATCTGCGTACATGTTGCTCCATTTCAGGAAGCTTAATACGTTTGTACATCTTACTTATATCACCTGCTATACCTATGGCTCCTTCACGGAATCTCAGTAATATGCCCACCATGGAATTCAAAACATCAGGACCCTTGGCCCAAAAGCTATTTAGAGATTGTCCCATGAATTTGGCAGAGGAATTAAAGACAATCCTAATTGGTGTGGATGTAGATCCTGGCTTTAGCACTTCATGATGTTGAAGATATGTAATAGGACCAGCATAACCTTTTATTTCATCTGGTGTTAATTTACGTGCAACATCACGTTTGATCATATCCCTTATTTGGTTGTTATAAGCTTTAGCATATTCTGGTCCAAGTTTCAGCAATCTCTTCTCAGTACTCCTTAATTTGGCAACAGCAACAGAGATATTATTCTGTAATAAATTAGGGTCTTTAACCCATGGGAATTTAGCGGACCATTGTTTTTTTTTCTGAATCATATTGTAATCCTTTTTCAATTAGGGCTAACTCTCTCTCTCCTCTAATACTATAGTCATTGTTACCCACTGCACATTTGCCACATTTGCAATCACCACATCTAGGATTACATTCTGTTCCTAAATATTCCACTGTGAAAAATTTATCAATCTGATCCTTAATATCAGATTTCGGTTCAACAGTTATATCTTTGTCATATATAATCCCAGAAATATGGTTTATTCTGATGCCTACAATATCCCTAGTACCTGAGGCACAAGCTATACTAGGGTGACTACCACGAACACACATCCCAAATCGAGATTCCATAAGTTGTAAATTTTCACCTACAGTTTCTTTAACTGTAGGGATTAGAGAGCAATAGTCAGCACCTATCAGTAAATCTATCTTACCATGAGGTCTATCCAATTGGCATACATCAGTACTCTTAAATAAATGCTTCACATGTGACAGATTAACCTTGTTTATACATGATGTTATTTCATCTATACCATAAGCAGTAATATTCACATTATTCCCCTGTTTATCAGTAAGAACAAGGTCATATTCCTTACTGTTATATGTTACAGTCTGGTTTCCTAGTTTAGTCACAACTAAGCGTATATGCTTGCCTTTCAATCCTAATGAGGCTGCCATATCATTTCGTATCATTGTCACGTCAGCCCCAGAATCAAAGAGTGTATTTAATACTTGATTATTACATTTAATCTTATTGACCATGAACATGACTCCATTTCTTTTCAAGCTGACGTATGAACTCCCAACAATCTGATTTTCATGAAGGCTCGTGTGATGGAGCTTCCCACAAGTTTGATTATTTGCATCAGTTGCAGAACATCTTGATTTTTTAAAACATCTCCTAGATACATGAATTCCCTTTAGACAATTAAAACAGATACCTCTTTTCCTTAGAATTTCAAATTTCTCACTATTGTTTAACTTCTGAAATGTTGCACAGTCTAAAATATCATGTCCATCTGTTCCATGATACCAACACCTGTTCAAATGTGTACTTAGAGTACCAATAGACCTCTTTTCTTCACTCTTTTCTTCTGTAAGCTTGATCACAAGGTTATTTATATTTGTTACAGCCTTCTCAACATCAGACAGCCTCTTCATTATTTCTGATTCTTCAGTATGGTCAGAGCTAATCCTATCTTGATTGTACACAGCATAGTTCACTCTAGCTTTAGTGTTAACAGGGTTCTTTACACTGGCAATCAGATACTTAAGGGATTTCCTTTCACCCAAAAGGTATTCCAGTAGTTTTTTAAATAATTCAACAGGTTCAACATTTTCTGCTATTTTGATCCATTCCCGCTTCTGAGTTGGAGGCAAGAGTTTCTCTATCTGACTTGTCATATTGGCAGTATTAAGTTCTGAAGATAGACCCAACTGATCTAGATAAAGAAAATTTTGCTCAATTTTGTCTACCATTCTGATAAAACCTAAACTATCACCCTCGACTACAGGTTCAATTTCTCTCAAATCTT